CGCAGAGCATCGGTGGGGATGGGCGAGTGCCTGAGCCCCGCACGGTCAGGACGGGCTGTGCCCCGGTCCCCGGTCCCCGCAGAGCATCGGCCGCTCGGAAGGCGGAAATCCCCGTGAGGGTGAGGCGTGGGAGGGAAAAGGGAACGGCCTGAAGCGGGCGGATCGGCTCGGATCGGCACGGCACGGCTGTCTCGGCTCGGCTCMGCACGGCTCGGACACGATGAAGCCGCGAGGGTGAGTGGTGGTCGCGGGGGAAGGGTCGCTGCTCCCGCTCCGGGGCTCCGGGGGCTCACGGCCGCCGCTTCCCCGCCCGGGATGCGCATCCCCCGAGGGGAAAGGCGAGTTCTGCGGCTGCTGCAGCGGGCGGGGAGGACGCTGGGGGAGTTGGGCTGCTGAGCTGGAGCCTGGGGCGAGCCCCGGACCCGGGACAGTCTGCGGACAAGGTCCCGTTCCCGGCAGCGCTCCCGGAGCCGCGGGGTGGGCAGAGAGCCGGGTGCCGCCAGACCCCGTCCGTCCGCGCTCAGCGAGGGCTCCCGGCAATTAACGGGCCTTTTATGGATATTTTCAGTTGAGGGATTGCGATGGCACCTGACTCACCTGGGGTTTATTGCCCAGGGTAGAGCTGCGTTACAGCCGGTGTTGCGAAAGCTCCGCAGGTGACCTGTTTGGGACATCTGCTGGTGAGTGAAGAGCCGTGTCGCTACAAGGTTAGGGGACAAAGTGGCTCTCAGCAGTGGAGCAAAAACCCCAAAGCTGGTATTGCAAGCATYAGGATATCTCCTGCCTGGCTAGATTGTGCCACAGCAGCAACATCCCATGGCTCTAAGATGAGTGGTGATGGAAAAGATGAGACGCTGGTAAAAAGAATAATCTCACCCAGCAAGAATGTATGAAAGGGGAAGTGCGACTTTCTCCTGTTTCACATGGCATTTTAAAAAACTTGTGGAAGAGGAAGGTGTGGGAAAGAATTGAAAGAGCAAAAAAAAATCCAAAGTATTTATTTATAATTAGAAGAGCAAGAACCTAAAACTCTAGGGCAGCTGTGCTTGCACTTAATTAAGCTCACTGCTAGAGTGATGGACACGGGAGTGTATGTAGAGGGCAAAAAGGAGGTTTCTCYGCAGGTAGAGTGTTTTTCCCTTTTTCCAATTAAAGGAAATTAAAGATATTCCAGGGGAGTATGGAGGGCTTACACTCCGAGTAGGAGGATGAGACATCTCTGGATCTGTCCAACCCTGACTGTGGCATCATTTACTAAAATAAGAAATCGAGATCCACTTTGTATACAAACATATGAGAATCGGTTCTGGCTGAAGATCTCAATTTTTGCTGACATTAGCAATTGCCTGCCTCGGGAAATTCCCTAGAGAGTCCCATAAAGATCATTTATTGTTTGCATTCACTTCAAGTGGGTTGYTATATTCATGGCTTCTGATTTGGGTGGGGAGTAATAAAACAAACCCAGGCATGGGATTAAGAAAGACTGCATWAGCTGAGCTTGCCAAGACAGATCTGGCACAAAAGTGGTGATTCCTGCACAGCATTAAAATGCAACTGGAATTCAATACAAAGCCACGTGCAAAAGCCACTGCCACGGACAAAAAATGTTCACTTGGGAGACTTCCTTTGAAACCGATAGCAGATTTACTGAAGTAATAGAGCAGAAATGTCCACACTGGGCATCCACTTGAACTTTTCAAGCCTCATCAAATCATTTCAAAGGACAGAGGAAAAGGAAATAAAGTGTTTTCTCAATACAAAATGTAATACAATTCAGTCTGGTTCTGCCCTTAAGTTTCTCCACCTCAGTCTCTGGAAATGAGACTTAAAGTAGAAGTAGATTTTGTGTCAGAAATGTCCTGTGCTTTCTGCATGGGAAGCCAAATATGTTTGGGAGCATCATAATTTTTTGGGAGGGTCAGATGGGAATTAGAGACACTCYTCCACAGCAGAGGAGGAGTGCCCAGGTGGTGCCCAGGCAGGTGGCAGGAGCAAATCTGGGCAGAAGCAAAGCTGTGCCTGGGAAGTGATGCAAGAATTCCTGGGCTTGGCTGGACAAAGGAGCAGAAGCTGTGGGGAAAGGGCAGGGGGAAAAGAGAGGGGGACTTTTTAAAGCACAGCAAAGTGAGAATTGGTTGCTGAGGAGTGAACTGAAGTTAGGGCTTGGAGGGAGGAGGGCCAGACAGAGCAGAGCTGGTTTGGAGGGAAGGCAGTGCCCAGTGTGGGTGGGAGATCCTGCAGCTCCATCCTCTTGCAAAGGTGAGCTGGGTGTGCTGGTGACAGGCCAGCGCTCCTGTCCCTCTGTCCCTCCTGTCYCTCTGTCATCTCAGCTTTGAAGCTTTATTGCAGCTGGGGCATCATGTAGGCGGGCAACTGCAGCCAAGAGTTCTCATCCAAAACCTTTCCTTTCCTTTCCTTTCCTTTCCTTTCCTTTCCTTTCCTTTCCTTTCCTTTCCTTTCCTTTCCTTTCCTTTCCTTTCCTTTCCTTTCCTTT